TGTGGATTAGGAAAATGTATTGGAAAGAATTCTCAGGAGGGGAATTGTCAGAAGGAAGGACAGACCTATTTTTAATCATTATTTTTACTATCTACAAAGTAGTGCATTTCTCAGCTTGGTAAATATTTCTCTACATGTCTTTCTTATATGCATGTGCTAACATATAAATGCTTATATCATTTAAAAATGTGATCATATGTTTTATTTTTGACTTGCTTTTTGCAGTTGACATTTTCTATGTTAAAAAATGTTGTACGGTATCCCATAGTACAGTTGCATTGTGATTTTTAGAAACCATTCCCTTATTATGATCTGCCACCCAGGAATATGTTCAGCTGTAAGTCAGAAATCCCAATAGTGGGCCTATTTTTCTCTCGTAACAAGGGAGGCAGTGACTGGCAATGGTTCACATGCTCAGCAATGCCACCAGAACACAGATTCTTTTTATTCTGCCGTTCTTAACATGTTGGCTTTGTGTTCATGTTTGCCCCATGCAGCTCTGGGCATCACATCCAGGTTCAAGGCACTTGTGGGAAAGAGCCTCACTAGTCACACATCTCCACTTTTCCAGGAAAGCCCAAGTTGTCTTCTTGGCCAGAACTGTGTCCCATGGCTACCCTAGGGAGACTGAGAAAGCAGTTGTTTTCCAGGGAATGTACTAGTATACATTGCTTAAGGGGACAAAGTCAGGTTCTTTTATCAAAGGTAGAGGTAGCTCTCATCCAAAACTTTATGAATGAGCATTTAAGCTTTTATATTGCACCAGGGTTCTTTGACTGCAAGCATCAGAAATAGACTCTGACTTAAATAAGAAAAAAAGGTGTTTGGGCATTCACAAATTTTAGAATTAGTTGAACCACCAGGCCTTGGAAAGGGCAGGAATAGAGCATTTCCATGGATTTCGGGGCCGTCATTTTTGGATTCATCACCAGATTGACATCTCTCAGATTCCCTTTTATCTTTGTGTGTCTCCATTCAAGAGGTACATTCTCTCAGAGAGCCTGCTTAGTCTAGTTTTCCGTGCCCACCACTGCAGGGCTCTGAGACTGGTATCTCTGGAATCACAGGATGGGGGGAATCCCCTGAACCCACAGGAAGACAGGCAGGGCATACAAAACATTTTTGTGGTTTTTGTGACGGGGAATTACAATGTTCATTTATCATATTTTAAATTGGCCATGGTAAATGGAGAAACTATTGATTTTTGCATATTCCTATTACAACCAGCCATCTAACAGAATTATGTTGTTAATAGTTTTTTAATTTCAAAGAAAGATTTATAATTAAATGATTAGTTTTCATTGAAATTAGTTCAAGGAAGAATTTAATATAAATTGGATGCTATGAGTATATTTAATAGGCGACAGAATCTTCTCAGGGGAGTCAGTGAGGCTTCCCAGAGATGTGGCGTTTCAGCCGAGATTTGAAAGTTAAATTGGAATGAAGTAGGCAAAAGAGGGGGGTGGGGTAGGGGGCCAGTTTGTGTGTAGGCCCTGCCTGAGGCCTGGCCAAAAGGAGCGGATGTGCAGAACTCGGGGGAAAGGAACCAGGGGAAGCCCCAATGTGAGAATTCCAATATTGACATCTTTTTGTAGACAAAAAACAATTTATTCCACAATCATACCAAAAACGTCTTATAATAAAGTGAAGCAAGAAGCGGCAGTGTAAGGGGCAGAGTAATTCCCCACATTTGATCAGTTATGTGATCATATGCTAACTTCTTGACTGTTGTTTTCAGAATGTGGTCGAATTATTGCTGGAGTAACCAAAGGGTCAAAAATGATGAGATTGTACATAGACAATGCAGCCCCGGAGAAACTCAAAGGAAAGTGTATATTTTTTGTTCGCTGTCAAAATGATAGTGCCATAAATCTTAAAAATATTCATGAGGTATGTTTACACTTTGTTTTCAAATAGATCAACATTTTTCTAGCTTTATTGAGGTGTAATTGACATATAAGATTGTTTAACTTTAAGGTGTAGAATGAGTTGATCGAATGCACTTTTTAAATACATACACACACACACACACACACACACACACACACACACACACACATATTATTGATCTCAGAGAGAAAGGGAGAGGGAGAGATAGAAACATCAATGATGAGAGAGCATCATTGATTGGCTGCCTCCTGCATGCCCCACACTGGGGATTGAGCCTGCTACCCGGGCATGTGCCCTGACTGAGAATTGAACCCGGAACCCTTCAATCCATAGGCTGACGCTCTATCCACTGAGCCAAACTGGCTAGGGCTCTAATGCACTTTATATTGAGAAATGATTACCATGGTAGCATTACCAACATCTCCATCACCTCACATAATTACCAATTTTTTGGTAATGTTGAATGATGTTTAAGATGTACCCTCTGAGCAGCTTTCAAGTATATAATGCGGTATTGTTAACTATAATCACCATGCCCCAGGGTAGATTTCCAAACTTACTAATAACAAAGTTTGTACCCTTTGACCAATGTTTTGCCATACAAAACTCTGAGCAGACGGCTAGTTTTGTTGCTTTTTCCCTGGACTGGCACAGTGTGTCTGATCCCCTTTTCAGAGACCGGGCAACTTTCAACTGAAAACTGTTTATGCAGGAGGCCCAGTTTCATTTCCCTCACATTGCACAGGCCCCGGGCCACATCTCCGTCCCTCTGTGGAAATTTAAGCACCAGGGGAAGTTTTACTTGCTGAACAGGCATGTAAATGGTAAAATGAGGGCAGAAAATAAGTTTGATGATTTTAGAACTCTAATATTCACAACCACTTAAGCTTTCCTAATAGTTTATAAGACGTATTGTCTATGCTTATTGTAATGTAAAATAGGTGGTGATGTTCAGTTCTTTATTGGGATCAGCATGTAAACACATTCGAACACTGCCCTTTCAGGAAGTGCTGTTTACTCTTCTGGATGCCTCAAAAGGACTCCTACATGGGATCAGGAATATGTTGGCAAAGATATTTCTACCAGCTATCCTTGCAACAAATAATTGGGGTGCTTTAAACCAATCCAAGCAGGGAGAGTCAGAAAAACACGTTTTCACTGAAACAATCAACAGATACCTTTCATTTTTAGATGGTAAGTATAACATTTCTTACCTAACACATTACTAAAAATGAGAAAATTAACTATATGTTATTAAAAATAAGCAAGAGATAAAAAAATTCCATTTCAAAAGAAGATATTAAGGTAATTATCAGAGAGGTAAGGTATCAAATCATTAGCACCTTTCTTTCCCAGGATTTTTGCAGGAGTAAGATAAGTTGTCATTTTTGTTTTCCATTACAGCAGGAGGATTCTCTTTCTATATTATTTGTGAAAAATTCCACTATATTGAAAAATATATACTTTATTATAAACTCTCCTTTAAATATATAATTACACTATTTCATATTGTTAAAGCCCAATTTTATTAACAAACCATCAATTCACAATCTAATGATCAATTAGAATTATATTTCTATGAAGTATTAGGTCTCTCACTTTTTAGTAATGACACCTTGAAACCACACAGTGATATTTAACACATTGACATTAAACACCTCTTCTCAATATTTTTTTCCTTTTAGGTGCTAGAATAAGTATTGAGGGAACAGTTAAGTTAAAGAATATAGACAACTTTGAGTTTTCCAAACTGCAAACCTTTGAAGAAGTGACAGTCGCAGCCAGCAATTCAGAAACTGTTCTATAGATTGCTTTGGGTAGTATGGACATTTTAATGATGTTGATTCTTTCCCAGGATTTTTGCAGGAGTAAGATAAGTTGTCATTTTTGTTTTCCATTACAGCAGGAGGATTCTCTTTCTATATTATTTGTGAAAAATTCCACTATATTGAAAAATATATACTTTATTATAAACTCTCCTTTAAATATATAATTACACTATTTCATATTGTTAAAGCCCAATTTTATTAACAAACCATCAATTCACAATCTAATGATCAATTAAAATTATATTTCTATGAAGTATTAGGTCTCTCACTTTTTAGTAATGACACCTTGAAACCACACAGTGATATTTAACACATTGACATTAAACACCTCTTCTCAATATTTTTTTCCTTTTAGGTGCTAGAATAAGTATTGAGGGAACAGTTAAGTTAAAGAATATAGACAACTTTGAGTTTTCCAAACTGCAAACATTTGAAGAAGTGACAGTCGCAGCCAGCAATTCAGAAACTGTTCGCCAGCTAGAGGACGTGCTGATGATATGGTACAAACAGATCGAACAGGTGAGCTAACTCAAGTAATCTCATCAGGTCTGAGTCATAGTCACATCTGTGTTCTAGGCACTGCAGTTTATCTCTCAAAGGAAAGGGAAGAGGAATCTTCCAGATTCTGTTACGAAACTCAGCCTATTCTTGACTCCAGTGCAAAATTCATTGTTCTCTATGGACCACTTAAAATCAATTTTAGTGAAACTATAGGAAACTGTAACAGTATGGGTTGAGAATGAAATAATGAAGAATCAGGAGTAGTCAACATGTATCTCTAATACTTTATATATTGTTTATATTCTTCAGGAGAGAGAGAGAGAGAGAGAGAGAGAGAGAGAGAGAGAGAGAGGAAAAGAACACAAGGAAGAGACTATAGCTACAGTGCTGGGCACTAAATAAATACCTATTGGTTGATCAATGAAATTGTTTGGGCTGACAAAGATGTCCAAACTGGGCTCATTCATACCAGTACTACTCTGGACATGTAAGTTTTCTCTGGCAGTAACAAAAGCAATGTTAGAAATGGGGTATATGTCAATATTCTGAGAGGTGCCAACTTATAAACATGACTAAAAATCATGTAATTGCCCCCAACTGAAAGAGGACTCTAGGAGCCAGCTTGCAGATCTCTAGCTCATGAGCACAGGACAGTGGAAAAGAAAGTCTTCAGTTAGGTGAGGACTGGGGGAGAAAAATCTTGACCTCGCAAGAGTTAGACAAGAGCATTTCCGAAATTACTTCTCGTAGAACTATGTTGGCAGAAGGAAGGTGCAGTTGCAGTGAAAAAAATTGGAGGGCTTTGGAAACTCTGCCACGGCCTGGAATGCTGGCCACAGAATTTGTTTCTGCGTGTCACTGGGTAATTGAAGTGCATAACTGCCCAGCAGAAAACTCCTGCAGCCACCTACTCTGCCACTGGAGGAAGGGGGGGTTGTAACCCGTTGTGGAAATCAAGCTCTGTCCCACACAATGGCCAAGGAGAGCCTCTCCAATTATTATAATCAATCAATAAAGATTTTCTTTCACAAAAATGAGCAAGGAAAAGAAAATAGTTTGACATAGGAGACTTAGCAACCTGAACAGATTTTCTTTCACAAAAATGAGCAAGGAAAATAAAATAGTTTTTAAAAAATACATTTTATTGATTTTTTACAGGGAGGAAGGGATAGAGAGTTAGAAACATAGATGAGAGAGAAACATCGATCAGCTGCCTCCTGCACACCTCCCACTGGGGATGTGCCTGCAACCCAGGTACATGCCCTTGACTGGAATCAAACCCAGGACCCTTCAATCCACAGGCCGACACTCTATCCACTGAGCCAAACCGGTCAGGGCAAGAAAATAGTTTGACATAGGAGACTTAGCAACCTGAAATAAGAAAATCAAGTTGGGCAATTGTAACAAATGGCCTTCAATTAAGCAGAATAAATGCAGGAAATGGAGAGATCTGTAAAAAAAAAAAATCAAAAATAAACCTCGACCTCTTGTCATACACAAAAATTAATTCAAGATGGATCATAGACATAAATATGAAAGCTAAAAGTGAAAAAAGAACATAAAACATGAATCTCAAAAACATATTGTGTTAGAGAAGCCAGTCTTAAGAACAGTAATGTGAAAAACAAAACAAAAACCATAAATGAAAAAGGAAAAAAAAAGGCCATAAATGAAGCAGAACATAAGACTATAGTAATATTTTCTTAAGTAAGATACAAAACCCAGAAGCCATGAAAGAAAAAAAAGTGATAGGTTTGGCTACATTAAAAAGAAATTAGTAACTTCCATATGTCAAAAACTACCATAAAGTTAAAAGATAAGTGACTTTCTGGGAGATAATGTTATCAGCATGTATAACAAAGAGTATCCATAATATATAGAGACATCTTATAAGTTATTAAGAAATGGGCAGTTCAGAGAAAAATAGGCCAAGGATCTGAACAATGTTATTCAAGGAAAGTACATGGAGACGTTTGACCTGGGAAAAAGGGGGCGTAGAAGTGACATGGTATTTTCAACTATTTGAAGGGATTTAATGAGAGATTAAACGTGTATGGCAGAAGTAAGCCAGAGAGAGTGATGGTTATAAGGAGAGAGATGGAAATGGAATGTACTGAATCACTGGAAATATTCAATTTGAGGCTGGGTTATCACCTATGAATAATGTAACAGGAATTAAACATCAAAAGGGTCATTTGATTTAAAATTTAAAAGTTAATTTTAAGGGTCATTTTCATTCTTTAATTCAGTTATTCAAATTATATAAGCTTTTAGCCATTTAAAAAAGCTTAAATTATGTCTACTGTCCTCTATTTAAGGAGGTAGAAAAGCTTGTAATTAGGTTAGGAAGAGTGCCATAAACCATGGTTAAAATTATAAGCATTTTCTGGATTAAAAATAGAACTTCAATACGTTTGAAAAATCAACTATGTATTTTGCCTCATTTGTATCCTTAAAAATTCCATCACAATTTAAGTTATGAAAAGTTATGAGCATTAAAAGTTATGAGCATTAAAAGTTATGAGCATTAATATAACACACATCTCTGTAACTGAGATTAAACAGATACCATCTACACTAATACAAGATAAACATGCAAATTGACCGTATCTTCGCTACACCTTAAAGCCATGCCCAATCAGAGTGACTATATGCAAATTAACCCAACCAAGATGGCGACTGGCAGCCACGGAGCTGGAGCAAGCAGGAGGCTTGGTTGCCCCGGCGATGGAGGAAGCCAAGCTTCCCAGCTGCTGCAGCTGGCTCTGAGCTCCACTCCAGGCTACAAAGTTTCAATTATAGAAGGTAAATAAATCCCAGAATAAAAAGAAAAAAAGGAGAGGCTGAGAGCTTCCGTCGCCGGAGAGGCTTGGCCAGCCTGAAAACAGCCCTCAGTCCCTCACCCAGACTGGCCAGGCACCCCAGTGGGGACCCCCCACCCTAAAGGGGGTGTGGCCACCCTGAAAACAGCCATCAGCCCCTCACCCAGACTGGCCAGGCACCCCA